TGTGGCGGGCACCTGTAGTCCCAGCTACTCGGGAGGCTGAGGCAAGGGAATCCCCTAAGCCCAGGAATTGGAGGTTGCTGTGAGCTGTGTGACGCCCTGGCACTCTACAGAGGGTGATAAAGTAAGACTCTGTCTCTACAAAATAAATAAATAAGGAGAAGAAAGAGGAGGAAATCTTTACCTACTAGAGATACATATTTGTTACCAGAGAAAGGGGTCCAGGCACTGTCCAGCCAATACACAGAGATGGGAGATAGGCCCACTAAGTTTTATTATCAGAAGGCCACTAACTCTGGAAAACAGTAAGAGTAGTTTCTACAAGACTGTTCTGCCTTGGTTACAAATACAACCATTTTTTAAGAAAATTACAAAGAAAAGGCATCTAGCAAAGTACAGCTTAATCCAACACTTAATCTACAGCAACATCAAAGTAATCTTTACTCTAACAATGGAACACTATCTATTTCTCCCCTGTGCTGTTACTCTGTGAAATTGTTCGCTCAATTCCTTAAGACATACATCTCTGATAGGGCGCCATTCCTCACACCTATAATCCTAGCACTCTGGGAGGTCAAGGCAGGTGGATTCCTTGAGCTCAGGAATCTGAGAAAACAGTCTGAGCAAGAGCCTGTCTCTACTAAAAATAGAAAAAAATAACCAGCGTCATGGTGGAAGCCTGTAGTCCCAGGTACTAAGGAGGCTGAGGCCAGAGGATATCTTGAGCCCTGGAGTCTGAGGTTGCTGTGAGCTATGACACCAGCACTCCAGTCTGGGGCAACAAACAAACAAAGAAGAAGAAGAAGAAGAAGAGGAGGAGGAAGAAGAGGAAGAAGAGGAAGAAGAGGAGGAAGAGGAAGAGGAAGAGGAAGAAGAAGAAGAAGAAGAAGAGAGAAAAGAAAAGAGAAGGGGAAGAGGAAGAAGAAAGAAAGAAAGAAAGAAAGGAAGAAAGGAAGAAAGGAAGAAAGGAAGAAAGGAAGAAAGAAAGAAAGAAAGAAAGAAAGAAAGAAAGAAAGAAAAGAAAAGAAAAGAAAAGAAAAGAAAGAAAAGAAAGAGAGAGAATTGCTAGAGCCCAGAAGTAAGAGGTTGCAGTGGCTAGGCTGACTCCAGGGCACTCTAGCCTGGGGCAACAGAGACTCTGTCTCCAAAAGTAAATAAATAAATAAATAATAAAATGTCCTTTTCCTGCCTAAAGCCATGTTGTCCAAACATGTCTGGGCAGAGTGATCCTTTCAAAAGAGAATCTGGGGCACTGCCTGTGACTCAGTGAGTAGGTCCCCAACTCCATATACCAAGGGTGGCAGTTCAAACCCACCCCTGGCCAAACAGCAACAAAAAATAGCCGGACGTTGTGGTGGACGCCTGTAGTCCCAGCTACTCAGGAGGCTGAGGCAGGAGAATCACCTAAGCCCGGGAGTTGGAGGTTGCTGTGAACTGTGACTCTCCAGCCCTCTACCAAGGGCAATAAAGTAAGACTCTGTCTCTAAAAAAAAAAAAAAAAAGAAAGAAAGAATCTGATCAGGCCACGGCCACCACCACTCCCATCCCTCAAGAGCTTAAAACACTTTCAAGTCCCTCATTAACCTTAGAATAAATTTAAAACTTTTGGGGGGGGGGGCCTTTCAAGGTCAGGTTGACCTCTCCCACTTGTCTGGCCTGACAGTACTCAAAAGGAATCTGAACACCTTCAGTTCCCATCATGGAACTCTCCTGCTGGCAAGAACAATCATTCCCCACTTCTTGCTGTGACCACTTAACTCCTTCTGGTCATTGATGGCCCAGTGGCTACCCTACCTTCTCAGGAAAGATTTTCTACCCCAAGGTTAGGAGAATTTCCCCTTTAAGTGCCTCTGATATGGTCCTCCATGCTTACCCTCACTTTAGCAGCTTCATACTGGTACTCTAATTGGCTGTTTATCCTCTAGTCACCTATCCCTCCATCTCTACCTTTACCCCAAGACTGTAGGCTCCTTGAGGTTAGGGACTCTCCTAGGGCAGGTTCAGCACCTAGCACAATGGCAGCCATATAATAAGTGTTCAATAAATATTCACTGAGTAGATGAATGAACAAATAAACTGATTGCTAAAGATTAACTCTACTTGTATTAGAGTTATAGCTATAACAATAGTAATAGCTCAATATTATGGATTTTTTTTATTTTGTTTTGTTCTTTGTTTTTCTTTTTTGTTTGTTTTTCGTTTTGAGACAGAGTCTCTTTCTGTTGCTCTGGGTAGAATGCCAGGGTGACAGAGTGAGACTCTGTTTAAAAAATATATTTTTATTTTGTTAAATAATTGTGTGTGCATAGACAAGAGGGGAGAGTGTTTTCCAGTTTCCTGGGGTACAGGGAAAGAAAATATGTGGAAGTGGAAGCCACCAACCAAGGTAGGGGGAGAGGCAAGACTGCTCACTGATGACAAGCTTGGTCCCAGAAGACTGTCACTTCCAGTTGTGGGACTTTGGGGGAAGTTTCTTAATTTCTGGGTCTCAACATTTTCGTTTACAAACTAGAAATATTATCTCTTAACAGTTGTCCTAAGGATTAATTGAGGAAACGCCTATAAAAATACTGAAAATAGGCTAGGCACCCATAGCACAGTGGTTATGGTGCCAGCCACATACACCAAAGTTGGTGCGTTCAAACCCGGCCGGGCCAGCTAAACAACAATGACAACTGCAACAAAAA